CCGGCCCGAGCGTGCCCGAACTTGCGGGCAGCAGTGCGTGCGCCTTTGGGTTACTGGCTGATAGGATCTGGCGCTTCTGCACTTTGCAGGGGCGGCTCCTTCGCCCCAGACGCTTTTGTCTGCGAGGGTCTCGGTGGGGGACCCCGCGGGCAGAGGCGGAGCTGCAGTTGATCGGGGTCCTGGAGAAGGGGGCCCCTCGGGCCTTCCGCTGCCTGCTGCCTGGAAGCCGGCCCCCTCGCCCCTTCTCTCTGCGCCCCCTCCCCGCGGTCAAGCCCAGCCGAGCAGCCTGCGTGGTGGGAGGGGCGGGGCTGGGGGGTGAGGTCTGACCCCCACCTGCGCACACGCTTAGGGCGCGGGGCGCGTGCACCCTGGCTCGGCTTTTGGTGAGACAAGTCCAGCGGCCCCTGTACCCGGGGTGCCCCTACCGGCTGGGGGATCCTCTGGTGTAGGGTTTCCAGGGCATCCTCTGAGGAAGGGGGTGGGGTTGCAGGATTTCATTCTCATCTCAGTCTTACAGATTTTTTATGAGCCCCTTGTTTCCAATAAGATCACACCCTTGCCCCCAATGCTGATTCCGTGGCCCTCGCCCCCACCCACCCATCCACTTTTTAGCCTGGCAGTGCCCCCGCCCCCTAAATCAAATGTGCCCGCTGAGTGGTGTGGGAGAACCCGCAGGCATGAGTGGGAGGGAGTCTCAAATAATTGTCGACCTCTCGAGGTCAGTGGGAATATGGCTTTTTGAGCTCGTTGTCCACCACAATAGCTGAGCAGCATGGTTTCATCTTTTTAACTTTTTATTTTGAGATCATCCTAGATTCACAGGTAGTTGTGGGATAAAATACAGCGACTCCTCAGAGGTGACATCTTGCAGCCAGTGTCACATCCAGGACCTCAGCAGGCATGTTGGCATATGTAGCGGCCTGTGGTGTGCACATTCCTGCCACCACCAGCAGTGTCACAGGTCCCTCCTGCTGCGCCTTCACAGGCTACTTGACTCTGAGTTTGCACTGACTGACAAACATTAAGGCCCGTCCTGGGTCTCACAAACCACATTTGGTGCTCAGCCCCATGGGCAGCTTGGGGCTGCCTGGTGTACAATTCCCATGGGATCCCTCTGGACTGCTGGCCCTTGCAGGCCACTGGGGGCTGGAGAGTAAGGGCCTGCCTTGTTCTCTCCTCTGGCACTGGGGGCTGTGGGTGTGCTGGCGGCCCAGCAGGGTGCATGCCTCTCTGATCCTGGGTTCAAGTTCAGATGCAATGGATGCTCCCCTGGAGGTGAGTGGCAGAGCCAGAGTTGTGTTTAAATTTGGGAGCACCCTTGGAAGGGCCACACCAACTGGGCCCTGCTAGGCTGGCTTGTTTGACAGCCACAGCCCCTTCCAGGTGATGGGCTCACCTTGCTGTTTGTACAGAAGCCCCATGTGGCTCTTCCATCTGTGCTTACCCTCCCACTGACCCTCTTAGAAATGTTTGCTCTCATCTCTTCAGGAGCCTTTACTTCTGCTGTCAGAGTATATGAGGCAGAACTTTATGTCTTTATTTAACTGACATGCAGCACTGTAACACCTGGGTTTGTATGTGAAGAACCTGGTGCCAGGGTGCCAAGTCCAGATGGTTCTGACACCTACTACCCTGTGAGCTTTCAGGCAAGTTGTTTAACTTTTCTGAGCCTCAGATGGGCATGCTTCCTGCTCTGTTACCTCCCCAGACCCAAGGAGGTGATGGGTGCGAAAGTGCTTTGAAAACTGCACAGCACCCACAGTCAAAAGACAATTTAAGTCTGCAGGTCAGGATTATGTTGCATTTCAGGATATTGGGTCTGAAAATCGTCTTTGATCCACTCAGAATAGTTGAGATCAGCCACTTGTCACAGCTGGTCAATTCATAAAGCCTCCGGGACATTGTTTCTTGACCTGGTGGCTCTCCCCCATCATGTAGCTTCTTACACTTCCCCAAACATTTCTGCCTTAGTACCAGTGATTCCCCAGTTCTGGCCATGGGGCCACCATTTTCCCACTTACTTGGACTTCTCCTTCTCCTCCCTTAAGACCTACCGTGGGAGGGAGTGGCCCTGTAGTTATCTGGGGGCGCAAGTCTTGGCCCACCAGAGGGTAGCAAGAAAGCCAGTGCTGGGAGGGTCTGCAGGGAACAAAGCAATCAGAGACGACTCGTCATTTGAGCAGAAGACAGGAAGTGCCACACAGTGCCATGGAGAACTCCCTTGCAGTTATCCTATCTCAGCAGGGTGCTGCACCCTCACTCTGCCCTCTGGTTGGAGCCCCGTTTTGGGTCCCATGCTGATCTCATCCACATTCCCTGGCTCCACCCGAAATGCTCTCTCTGAGTCTTCCCTGCCCTGATGACCCACCTACAAGCCCATCCATGCCTCCAGCAGGTAGGCTCCTCTGTCCTCTGACCCCTTTCCCTGCCTCCCTCATCTCAGGGCCCTGGTCACAGTGCTGGCACAGGGGTATTTTTCAGAGTAGGGACGGAGGACTGTGTTTACATCATGGTGTCTACTGTGTTTGGGGGGCAATAACACTACTGAAGGTTTTAATACAGTTTTTGCTACTTTGTTTAAATAATGTTGGAGGCCTTTTTGGATTCTACACAAATACATTGTTATTGTAGATTTAGAAACCATGTCAGGCAGGGCGGGGTAGTTCTCCCGTTCAAAGACAGGCGGCTGCTCGGACTGCCGCATCCTTCTGACCCTGTCCATCCAGAATGTGCATTTGTCTTTGCTTCACAGAACCAGGACCGTGCTTTGTGGGCCTGTTATTCTGTAGCCTACTTTCCTCCTCCAACTTTATGGTGCATGTTGCAAATATTTTCTACTGTCATAAATATTTTTAGAAAACATATTTTAAAAATGTCTGCATAGTATTCCATCTTACGTGTAAACCATAATTAACTTAGCCAGTATCTTATTTCCAGTTTTTTCCATAATAAATGATGCTGTAAATAACATCTTTATATTTAAATCTTTATTTAAATATATCACATAAAGTATATAAAGAATGCTGATTCTGTTAAATCAGTGCAGAACTCTCATTATATCTTGAGGAAAAATTCCTAGAAGTGAAATTACTGGGTGAAGGCTTTACATACATATGGCTAAATTTTCTTACAGAAAGCCTCTTCTATGGGTTTATATGCTGTTTCATATCTACCTATCCTCCTCTGTCCCTCCAAAACTCTGTGTTTTCCTGTTTTCTCCCAATTAGATCAGTGAAACACTGTCCCTTGGTCTTATTTTGTGTCTTGGGTGTTAGTGAAGTGAATCTTTTTATACCTGTTGGCTGTTTGTACATCTGTTTTTTCCCTGCACCTGTTTTTTCCCTGCACCTTTCTGTTACTGTTCTTGTTTTTACGGGGCTGTGGAGCTGCTTGTCCAGTCAGTGCCAATGGGGCTGGGGTGAAAGTGTTGTAAGCCTTGTGTCCCCTGATCCCCACATCCTATCTCTGGCTGAAGGTGCTCGCTGCCTGCCCTGCAGGGACACGCCCTTCCGTCTGCTGCGCTGGCTCCAGGCCAGGCTCCCCACGGGTGCTGGGTCCTTGCCTTCCGAGGCCCGCTGAGAACCGCCTGACACTGCTTGACTCACCTGTGTATCAGCTACACCCTTGTAAGGTTCCGGTTTTGCTGTATCTGTCATGCAATGTTCAAACAGGTTTGGGGACTTGATGTGGGATGTTGCACCTAGAGGAGACTCTCCTTGGGGACCCAGGTGGGGATATCAGCCTGTGGGCTTGGTGACAAGCCTGCAAACAGTAGAAAGCCTTATGAACCTTCTGGGGTTCAAGCCCCTTCCCGGGGCCCAGGCATTGCAGACAGGATTCTTCCCACTTGAGGGAAGGGAAAAGTGTCAGGGTCAGAAGATGCAACCGGTCAAGGT